TTTCTCTCACGATGTCCGATTGAGGTGATTCAAGATGAATTGGAAAGCTAACTCAAAGGGCTACAACTTTTATTCAAATGACATCTTCGAATTCGATTGTTTGATATGTCAAAAACTGGTCTCAATATGAGACTAAAAACCGGTGCAAAACTTTTCAGCTTGAAAGTTGATATGTGATAATGTCTCCCTTTGACTTCTTTCTTCATCCAATTGGCCTCTAGCACTCTCAAGTCTTCATCATGAGGTTCGATACAACTTTTGAATATGTTCACTTTGGTTCCCGAACTTTCGCTTTCTTTCTTTTTGGTCAGTTTCCCCTCATTTNACTTTCGCTTTCTTTCTTTTTGGTCATTTTCCCCTCATTTCTTCCAAATTACGCCATATCCATCGAATTGCCACCTAAACCAAAATATGAGAATACTAAGTACATTTAGGCATAAAATAGTCATATGAGTGCATTAAATAATGATATAAAATGTGTATTTTATATTCCTATCAAATTACATTAGAATCTTGAGTAATTAACAAAAAAGTTTCAATAACCAATTCACCCCCCTCTTAGATAGTTATTCTTGGGCTAACATCTTCTTTAGTAAAACCCCGGTTCAGAGCTATGGATGCTCCTTTTTATTCCAGTTTTATATTGCTAATTTTTCTCTCTAGGATGCTTCTCTTTCGACCCTAGGCTTCTCTCTTGTATCTTTGCTCTCCTTTCTACAATTCAAGATGTTCCATCTTGAGGGGGAGTGTTGAAATATTATCATCTCAACAGATCAGTCTGCATCAGTTCACACATCCAGCAGCAAGTCTTCTTTCTAGATTCTTCTTCTGTTCTTTAGTTCACGTTTACCAGCACATGCATCTCTTCTAGATCCTTCTTCCTCTTAGCTTGTTAGATAGTTTGTTAGCTATATTTCTCTATAAATAGAGCTCGTTTTTTTTTTGGTAAAATATCCTAGCTTGAAAATCCAAGCCGTAGGATACGCATTTATTCATATAAAAAACAAATACAAAGTAAAGGAGGTTACAAAACATACAGCAAAACAAAACTAATCTACTTCACAAGTCTGATACTCTCCATGCCAATCCTATCTAGCCTCACAATTTCTTTGATTCTACCCATGAACTCTTGTGCTTCAACAAACTTGAATTTCCTGTCAGCGAATCCCTTGGATGCAAACCATCGGCAGCTTGATTACCCTCCCTCCAAATATGAGTAAGTATGGTTTCCATTTTGTCCAGCAACCCTCGAATTGATTGTAATGTATATTGGACTTCCCATGGACCTATATTCTGCTTAATCAATGAGATAGCCACCTTAGAATCAGTCTCAACCCATACCTTCCTGCACCCCTGTGACCAACACAACTTCAGCCCAGTTTCCATGGCTTTAAGTTCAGCTTCCAATATTGATCCTTCTCCATAATACTCATAGAATCCCCAAATTGGATTCCCCAAATTATTCCTCAGCAATCCCCCTCCTGTAGATTGGGAATCATCCTTCCTAGCACCGTCCGTGTTTAGTTTATACCAGCCTACCTCAGGTTTAATCCACATGACTGCTATGGGTTTATTTAACCTGATCCTCCCATTCTGTTGAATTCTGCCAGTCCTAATGAGAGCCTTGATCAGGAAATAGACTTGCTTGATAATCCTATCTGCCCTTGCAATATGTTGTTTATGTTTCGCATTGTTTCTGGCAAACCAGAGAAACCATATGACAACCAGAGGAACAACATTTCGAATTTCACCTGGCTTAGCTTTCTTCTGTAGAAACCAGTGCATAAGTAAGGTTCTAGGATGAACACTTCCAATTTCTTTCACATTCAAAACCCTGGAGAAATGTGACCAAACCTCCTTAGCAATTCGACCATCCACAAATACATGATTAATGCTTTCAGAGTTGCTGCAACACTGACATTTGGAGGCTAAACTGATGGCAAATTTTTTCTGGATAATATCATCAATCGGAAGCCAATTATGCCAAAGCCTCCAACCTAAAAAGCTGATCTTCTGAGGAATGATTTATCCCAAATATGTTTATACGCTAGCTGGGCTGATTTGCCTTACCTGAAAAGGTTAATACAAGAGGAGATGGTAAATACCCCAGTAGAGTTGAGCTTCCAGAATATCTTATCAGGCATCATAGTAACCGGTATCTTCACTATTTCATTAACCACATCAGCAGGTAAAATACGGTTCAGCGATGTAGTATCCCATTCGTTAGATTTCTTGAAATCCATAGCCAATTTATCGTGAGGTAGATCCTGTGCCAGTCTCCCTTGAATCTTTCCAGACTTAAGCCAAGTATCATACTTGAAATAAATTCTCCCTTCTCCAATTCTCCAAGAAATATGAGGTTCGGCAATGTTTCTGGCTTTAATCATCCTTCTCCACATACCTGAGTCAAGAGAACTTTGGTTAACAGCACTCGCTTGAATGGACCTGCAATACTTGGCTAACAGGACCTGACTCCATAACGATTTTTGCTCTCTAAACTTCCACCAAAGTTTGCAGTCAAAAGTAAGGTTCAATTCAATAAGTGATCTGCACCCAATTCTCCCTTCTTCAACAGGATAACACATGTTTTCCCAGGACGCCCAGTGTATTTTCTTGCTTAGACTAGAATCACCCCTGATAAAGCTATTGAACAATCTAGAAATTTTGTTAATAATACAATGAGGAGGGTCGAGGATTTGAAGTAAATGAATGGGCATGGAGCTCAACACATGTTTGATAAGTGTGATCCTGCCACCAGCTGACAGCCATCTATGCTCCCAACCCATTATTCTACGTTTTATTTTACTAATCAAATCTTCAAATAATGCAGCCTTCTTATGCCCTTTATACAGGGGAACTCCCAGGTAAGTCATAGGCAAGGATTGAAATTGAAATCCAGTATTATCAGCAATGATTTTTTTGTGACCCTCCCTTCTAGTGTAAAAGGAACTTTTATTGCAATTAATATCCTGCCCAGAATTTTCAGTATACTGTCTGATGAACTTCATAATTTTAATCAATGCGGGTTTTTGACCATTCGTAAAAATAACAATATCATCTGCAAAAGCCAAATGTGAAACTGGGATCCCTCCACCATATCTGAACTGAAGGTCTACATTAGTGGAAAAAAGATGGTCCAGCCCCCTAGACAAACACTCAGCCATAATTATGAAGAG